TGGTTTCGACTTCGGTTGTTGCTGCGACTGGCCGACACCCCTAGTGTCGATGGACTTCGTTGGTAAGCTGTCCAAAACCTGGATTCTACGACGATGGAAATCGCATAGCTCCTCCAGAGTATCCTGCTCCCTTGTTGATGATACTTCTTCCCACCCTCTACGCGTGACCGGGTCCAATCGTGCTGTTAGGATGTTCACCAGCAGAAGATCCTTATAGTCAACCGGTTGGATGACCTGATCGAGAGTCTGCACAATCCGTTCAAAACCTTCCACTAGGATGTGCAAGTCAGCTCCGGACTCCTTCGAAAGTGTGGGTAGCTTGAAGAGAGCTTGTACCTGCCGCTTCCTCAGTTGCTTGCTGTTATTGTAGCGTTTTAACAGCATATCCCATGCCACCTGGTAATTGGCTACCGTGATCGAGAATGGTTCAATCAGGGCCTTGGCTTCTCCTTGAAGGCAACCCTTTAAATAATGGAGTTTTTCCACCTCCGGTAGATCCGCCTTCCAGTGGATTAGCGACATGAACAAGTCGCGGAAACTCAGCCACTCGTCAATGTTCCCACTGAAGGTATGCAGGTTGATCTGTGGTAGGCGCACATGATCAATGGTGGCCGATGTTGATCCTTCACCTGTTCGTATGGACTGCTCCAGTGCTTGGGGTTTCTGGAGTTCCTTGATCTTGTCCATTAGAAAGGACTTGACCTCATAATAACGATCGCTGAACTCGATGCGTTCCTTCTCAAGTGACGTCTTCTCTGCGTTGTACTCGTCGTGGGAGAAGATCTCTACCATGGTTTCACTGTAACTCTCCCACAGCTCGTCCAGTTTCCCAATACGTACCTCCATCTCGGTAATGTTGTTGGATTCAGAAAACGCTTGAGTAAAACGGTAGATGTCATTGAACGACAGTTGTATCTGCTTCAACCTTGCCGTCAATGCCTTCATCGACGGCGCCTTGGCTGGAATTCCTCCGGTTGGCATGGTGTTATCGTCACGGTAATGCAATTAGTCGAGAGAGAGAGGTGCGGTGTAGTATCACAGAGAACAGACGTTCAAGCTCGGTCAGAAACTTGTGTAAAATAAGTGGGAATGTCGCCGTTACGTGGTGTTAGCATCTCCTGATTTTCTCAATAAATTTTCCACTTTCAACCAATTTGGCGCTAGTATCGATAAATTTTCTGTTGAAAATTGCCACTTGGCGCTACTAGCACTTAGTGTCTAGTGTAATTTGTGCAACGCCAGCGCCATCATGTTTTCAAAGAGGGTTTTTAAGTGGGGAAGTCGCCGTTAGTGGCGCTTAAGTCGAATAGGAATCTTTACACAAGTTTTTAGAGAAATTTTGTTCGAGCCTCCATGTCTGTTCTCTGTGGTAGTATCTTGCAAAGAGCCTAGCTAGGCCAGGCATATACTAGTTTAAATTACCCGGAGAAACGAGTAGCTGCGCTTCAAAATTCAAAAGGGAAACCCGCAGCCACGTGACGTCACACGTCGATCTTTCAGATGACGACAATTCGAAAGCAATGGTGTGAATCGAAGAGGAAAGGAAGCAGTGTAGTAATCGAAAGGTGGCTTCGGCAGGACATATACCGTGCAACTCACCACAACAAGAACAATAGCAATCTCAATTAAACTACCAACGGTGACTATAGCAAACAGCCACATCCAAAATGATCGACGAAACCAATACTCGAAAACGTAAGCCAAAACGGTAATCAGGGCTCAGCGATTAGAGAGGTAAAACGAAGTGGGTTGATTCCAAATTAAAATTGTGTAATTCCATACGCCTAGCTTCGGTAGTACACTAATATAAATTTACCTTGACAGTAATGTGTGTTGCTTCCACTCTGCGTCGAAAGTGTGCCGACGGATGTTAACTGTCCTTAAGTCCTTAAGTTTTCTACTAACATAGCATCAACCAGATTTAAATAAAATGCTCCATTTGCAAAATAAAAGCATTTTAAGATTGCACTCGTATACCTCACCGTGTAAAATTTTGAAACCATCATCACTCTCATAGTTTTTCTATTCTCCACGAGTGCCAACTTTGATTTGCCAATTGCCACTTGTAATTAATTTTAGTTGGTGTATTAATCAGCAGATTAAATCGTTTTCCGTTTGATGATACACCGAGCAATCGGCCTATTTAATAGTTTTTCGTCGATGGATTTAGTCGGCCGACTTCATCTTCTGTTTAATCGGTAGATGATTTCAAACCGTAACATGTTTTCTGTAATTTATAAGTCTTATAGTAGCATTTTATTTAGGGACAATGCATTACAAAATAGTTTTATGCATTTTGTACAAGATTATTCCATTCTAAATAGAAATTTGCATGAAATTACATTGAAATTAATCAATTTTGAAAAAAATCTATGAAATTATCAAGGGCTGTCACAAACTTATCACCGTCGGTTAGTGCTTATTCCTGCCACCTGGCGCGCAGGAGTTTAAGTTGGATTTCTCAATAACAGCACAGAGAACAGACGTTCAAGTTCGGTCAGAAACTTGTGTAAAATAAGTGGGAACGTCGCCGTTACGTGGTGCTAGCATCTCCTGATTTTCTCTCTAAATTTTCCACTTTCAACCAATTTGGCGCTAGTATCGATAAATTTTCTATTGAAAATTGCCACTTGGCGCTACTAGCACTTAGTGTCTAGTGTAATTTATGCAACGCCAGCGCCATCATGTTGTCAAAAAGAGTTTTTAAGTGGGGAAGTCGCCGTTAGTGGCGCTTAAGTCGAATAGGAATCTTTACACAAGTTTTTAGAGAAACTTTGTTCCAGCCTCCATGTCTGTTCTCTGTGGAGTAAGTGAGAGAAAATTGTGACGTTGAGGTTATTTTAACCCAGCTGCTCGACTGAACGACAAGTAGCCTTTACTCATTGCTTAGAATATTATTATTCTCACTCTTGAGTGCGTTTAACTTATAGACCTAACCTATATTGGTGCAATGGGATGGATTTATTTGGAATTCCTTAAGGTAGTAACAAATTAGAAAGAGATTTGTGTTTTTTTTTTAATTAAAATTTAAACGAAATTCAATCTGCGATAGTTTGTAGTTTTCTGCTTGCGGCGGCTGCATTAAACAGAACTTCAGCAGGTGGGGGACCATGTAGCGTATTTCTTCGGTTGTTGTCACTTCGGATTCGGATCGGTGACCACTTAGTAGCTTTGCCACCGAAGCGGGGTCTACTTTGGCCGTAATATTCTCCATCTGTAATCTCTATCGTAAAAAGTGTATCGCTAAAACTCTCAAACTTGCCAAACTTTCAATAAACAACAAAAATTCTTTTCCTTTGAACTGATGGCTAACTCGCAATGCAAACTATTTTTGCAATCTTCTGACAGCTTAGAAAACGAGAATAATACGATTCTAAACATTAGTGAAATGTACTCAGTTTTGTGTATGTCTGGTTTACTCACGAGGTGAGCCAGAATAACCAGGCCAGTGACAAGGCCTATACCAACAGCAGCGTTTGACAGTAGGCAGCATGTCCCGGGCTCAAATCATTTATTTTGCTGTGCTGGGCCCGCTGTCACTGTATAACATGTTGCCTATGCGCCTGCCACTGGGCTGAGAATAACTCATCACGACGTGGAAATCCACAATTTTCCTCATCGTATTAACAACTGAGTACAAAAAACTCTCTCACTGAGTTACTGTTATTGGCCGTGTACACACGCTAAGATGCACATACCTCAAGAGTCGGTAAATAATACCCTCGTTGGCGTTTCACACCAAATTGGACTAATTAGCGCGTTTTCACTTATTAAATAGTGTGATAAAACTGCAAGTTTACGTCTAATCACAGAGAACAGACGTTCAAGCTCGGTCAGAAACTTGTGTAAAATAAGTGGGAACGTCGCCGTTACGTGGTGTTAGCATCTCCTGATTTTCTCAATAAATTTTCCACTTTCAACCAATTTGGCGCTAGTATCGATAAATTTTCTGTTGAAAATTGCCACTTGGCGCTACTAGCACTTAGTGTCTAGTGTAATTTGTGCAACGCCAGCGCCATCATGTTTTCAAAGAGGGTTTTTAAGTGGGGAAGTCGCCGTTAGTGGCACTTAAGTCGAATAGGAATCTTTACACAAGTTTTTAGAGAAATTTTGTTCGAGCCTCCATGTCTGTTCTCTGTGATTAATCTATAAGCTGCATACAGGTAGAGCTCCAATCACCCATAATTGCTAATTGTACCATTCTCCATTGGCCACTAGCGCCAAATTGGTCGAAAGTGGAAAATTTATAGAGAAAATCAGGAGATGCTAATACCACAGAGAACAGACATGGAGGCTCGAACAAAATTTCTCTGAAAACTTGTGTAAAGATTCCTATTCGACTTAAGCACCACTAAAGGCGACTTCCCCACTTAAAAACCCTCTTTGACAACATGATGGCGCTGGCGTTGCACAAATTACACTAGACACTAAGTGCTAGTAGCGCCAAGTGGCAATTTTCAACAGAAAATTTATCGATACTAGCGCCAAATTGGTCGAAAGTGGAAAATTTAGAGAGAAAATCAGGAGATGCTAACACCACGTAACGGCGACGTTCCCACTTATTTTACACAAGTTTCTGACCGAGCTTGAACGTCTGTTCTCTGTGCTAATACCACGTAACGGCGACGTTCCCACTTATTTTACACAAGTTTCTGATCGAACTTGGACGTCTGTTCTCTGTGCTTTACACAAGTTTCTGATCGAACTTGGACGTCTGTTCTCTGTGGTAGTGGTGAGATCAAAGCTGACAGCATACAGTGAGCTATTTTGTGCAAATTAAACATTTTTCGATTTTCTGCATTCAAAATAAATCACTGTACCTTTTTTCATGGCTAGCGACATCTGTTGCCAAAATCAACCATGCTGGAAAAATACATTACAAAATCAGACAAAACCATCGATTATCCCCTTGGAATCGGTTTGAACGCACTCGTTTCGACTCCCGCAAGCGCACCCCGCATTGAACGCACAGTTAATGACAGCTGTCATTAACAGTGCGTTCAATGATTGCTCCCTCGTCCCGAAAAGCTGCTGGCCATAATAGTTATTGTCATTTTTTACTGTGAAAAATATATAATTACCACTTTTAATGGTTTGCCATCTTTCGGAGCGAAAATGTTGGTTTTACTAGTAGCAGTAGCATAATTTCTGTGCCCGAAAATCGATCGTCGTCTATTGTGTGTGAAAATCTCGTGAGAAGGACATTTTGCGGTAGTGTAACATTTTGATCTCGGTGGTTTGTGTAAATCTTCGTCGTCGTAGTCGTCAAAACAGGCTTCGCTCGCTCGGGGTGGGAACAATCCGAGGTGCTGAACTGGCATCAGCAGCAAAATGTCGACGGGACTGGTGGACAAATCGTTCGCAAGTAACGATGAACTGTTCTACCTAAAGTGGAACAACTTCCAGAAGAATGTGAGTACCCAGTTCGAGAAGCTCCGGGAGGAGGACGATCTGGTGGACATTACGTTTGCCTGCGAGGGCAAGAAGCTGACCGCACACAAGCTGGTGCTGTTTGCTTGCAGTCCGTTTTTCAAGGAACTGCTAAAGGTAAGCATTTGCTGAGAGGATTTATTGTGAGACACGGGAATGATGATTGATGTTCGTATTTTGCAGAAAAACCCATCTCCGCATCCGGTATTCTTTATGAATGATGTGAAGTACGATGTGCTGAAGGCTATTCTGGAGTACATGTACCTGGGCGAGGTGCACATTACCAATGAAAATTTGAAGGATTTCATCAAAACTGCTGAGGGATTGCAGATTCGGGGTTTGAGCAAGGAGAATAATGTGAGTGGCATTCTTGGGTTCCTATGAAGTCAGATTTAATGGTAACAATTAGAATTAGGGCATCTTAATATATGTTTGAAGTGAAGCAAGGAAGGTGGTGACTAATCCCGGTTAAGTTAATATTAGTTGTCGTTGAAACCTTACCATATTCCATTCTCAACCAACATCAGGCCTTATCAAATACACAGGGTGACGTTGTGATGCCTCCCTCGAATCAGGTTCCCATGCGCAAGGAAGAGAAGGATCAATCAGTAGTGGAGAACGTCCATCTGCTGGACGAATTCTGTCGCAAGCGTCCGGAGTCGACCGGCGAGCTGGTTCAGACCACCGTAGGGTTGAACATCAAGCGGGTGAAAACCGTCGATACCCAGATTCCCTCGGTCAGCGGACAGGACAGTGGTAAGATGATCCCAACGTTCTATTGGCTGGGGGAGAACCAATTGAATTCAATATTAATTTTCAGTATCTAATGTAGAACCGAAAGTGGAAATGGTGGAGTATTTGGAAACGGAAGGCACCGATCACCAATCGCCGACCTACTGCAGCATGGATAATTTCACGGAAAAGAGCAATTCGCGGAATAACATTGCGCATATGAATCAGTTGAATGCCTGTAAGATCGAGGAATCTTGCCCTAGTTTCGATCCACTTTTTAAAACTTTGATCAATTTCAGCTGGCTTCACCCAGACCCAAACGCAACCGAGCAGTTCCGGACACCAGCAACAGCAACAGCAGCAGCAGCAACAACAACAACAACAGCACGTTCAACACGAGTACAAATCCGAAGAGGACAGCAGCTGGATGGACAAATCACTGGACAACATTTCCGTCAACTCCGAACAACCATCGGGCAAGTATAAAGGCAAATCCGGTGGCAGCCGTTCGAACCGTTCCTCCGAGGACAAAACAAATTGCTTGACGCCTCGCTGCTGTCCCGTTTGTTCCCGCCTATATTCGAATGTATCCAACCTGCGGCAGCACATGCGATTGATTCACAACCCAACCGCGGTCTGCTGTCCCATCTGCCAGAAGCACTTCAATTCGGAACTCTACCTAAAGCGACACTACTCGTCGATCCACTCGATCAACACCGGCAATCAATCCGACGGGGAACTGGCCGATCAGAAACCACCGACGTCGCAGCTGACCGGACAGCAAACGCAAACTCCTCAACAACAGCAGCAACAGACTACCCAGCAGCAGCAGCAACAGCAGCAAGCTCAGCAACAGCAACAAACCCAACAAGCACCGGCACCGGCTGCGACCAACACCTGGAATCCATATCACCATCACGATACGACGCAACTGGTGAATCCGTTCATCAAATAATCACTATTAGTCGGCGCTAGTGGTAAGTCACACGTGCAGGTACAACAACAACAACAGCAGCAGCAGCATAATAATCAGCAGCAACAGCAATGTCTTTCTCAGTTGGTCACAATCTGTTCGTTGGGCCAGTTTGCTGCCCAAAGCCAAAGTAGCGGTCCCAAGCAGTGAGTCGAAGAACATATTCAATAGGCAATCCGATGTCTATGTGCGGTTTAGTGTGTCCTTGTGGAGCTGCTAGAATCTGTCCAAGGTAGCAATATTTGTAGCTTGTGTAACGTGTCGGTCATTACATTGTTCGTTTGGAATTTCTTAACCGTTATGTGCGTCACGTCACATAACGGGTAATAATTTTATTTTTTGGGATTGTTCATGAGCTGTTCTGTGGATTTTTTTTAAAGGAAAATTTGCCTGTCTGGTGCAGGGCTGATACGTAGTGGTTAACCGATTTGAAATTATCCGGAGGTCCTTGCAGAAGGCCTTCAATATTTTCGTGTTATTTTCCTCTGAGAGTCCAGTCAAATACAATCAGAAATTCGCGCGTTCAAGTGAAAGTTTTCCTACCCACCTACCTAAGTGGCATCCACTGCTCGTTTTCGACTTCTGTCGACATGCTTGATTGAAGGTGAGTCGCCATGTGCCCTTGGGTATGCTTCTGCTGAGATGCCCCTGTCAGATTCCAATTCAACGTTTGCTTGCAGATTTCGTTTCCGCCCCATTCGTAGTGTTGCAGTGTTGCAACCACCTGGAATTATCAGGGAAGTTCAGTCGAGTGTCTGAATCTGTCTCAATTTTTTTAGTTTTTGCTGAATGATTCTATGTTTAAGACTCTTAAAGTTAACGGAGATGCGCAGAAGGACACTTTGACTATTTGGAGGAATATTTTCATAGCCCATAGCATATTTGGAAGCCCTTGTCACCGATTTTGAACACAGGAACGGGACGACTCAGATGGCGGCAGCGACAATCTGGATTACAGGGAAAACGGCGAAGCTCGACTGTGACGAGTGGATTATCACTCCGAGCACGATGCCTCTGGTAACATGTGTAACGGCAAACTTACAATGTTTGAAAAATCATAGCTTACCCATTTAGTGACGAGTTTCAAATCTATGGCACCATTTGCAACTACATACTTAGAAGATTTCTTTGGTATCAATAGATTTAAAATCGATCGATTAATTGCTGAGCATTGATTTTTCAAACATTGCCAATTTACCGTTGCATCCCTAATTACAAATGTGCGTTCCGTTGGTGGCGATGGACTATAAACGTGAGCAGGAAGGAAGGAAGACGTTTATCTCGGACGTCAGGTAAGTTTCAGTGAAGAAGTCAACAAGCTCTATGTCATTGCTCTTGAGCAAGCAAGCAGTCCAGTTGACTATTTTTATCACTGCATACATGGCCACTGATAATAACGCAGCGAGAGAGTAACTTTTTATCAGAGGTATGTAGTTAGTTCTAAAAACTGCAGTTTTTAGATTTTTCTCATGCAACTGAGTAGATGTGACTCTCTCTCTCTCTCTCTCTGAGTTATTCTCAGTGGCCGTGTTGGCCATATTCAATGACAAAATGTCATCGGCGAAGCCAAGAAGCTGAACGGACTTCCTGAAAATCGTACCACTCGTGTCTATCCCAGATCTTCGGATTACACCTTCCAAATCGATATTGAACAGCGGACATGACAGCCCATAACCTTGCCGTAGCCCTCTTCGCGATCTGTGCACCTTCCTCTCTTTAAACACCCCTATTCCGTATTCCGTTCGACACAGATATCCCATACATTTTTTTTTTAAAATTAGTTATCCGTTTCGAACGGAATGCAGCATTACGGGTGCACATTTTACTAACAACAACATCTGTGACATACTGACTTGAGTAAGCTATATGATGTTCCTGTTGTTGAATCGATCATCATCGATTGATTTAAATTGAGTCCAACTAACCGCAGCATTTTTGCCCCATATACATTGCTAAGCCAGTTAAAAGCGGATAGGTCCTACCACAAAAGCGTTTAAATGAAAGTTTTAACAATTGTTGAGTTCTCTACAGCAATCATCTTACTGCATATGAAATTTTTTGTACAAATAAAAGTAAAACGAACACGAAACTATGTTAAAACAAGAAACACACAAGGCAGAGCCAACACGATCGTATAAAATAAACTATAACAACACAACCGGACTCAAATTAAACTGAAACCCCAATATCGCAAGTTTTACTCGAAATCCAAATTCAAAAAAAAAAAAAAACCCTACCTAGATAATAAACCATGATTAAAGATATGAAACACAAAATGTATAATTGTACTTAGAGAAAAAGGATAAAGTTAATTCTTGTTCTCGTATCTAGGCCAAGAAGCGAATGGAGACGAACGGAAAACAAAACAAAAAAGTGTACAAAAGAAGAGAATTCGTGAAGAAAAGAGCCTACCGTTTTTTTTTTTAAACTTTAGTTAATAACTTCGTGGTGTGCCTGTTTCGTTTTGAAGAGTTATCGTTGTATACCCTAATTTAACCCCTAACAACCTTGGCGGAACGAGGAATCAAGGAAATGTTTACTTTCATTTAGGTAATTCTAAACGCATGTTTTGTGACAAATTAGCATTAAGGATCATTGAGAAAAATCTTCACTGTGCGTAGAGGTAAGGTAATTTGCTGATAAGCAGAGAAATAAACCGGTTAGGTAAATAGTGTTTAGGGAAAGATTCTCTGGAAGAAAGAGCAGTTAGTGTTTAAGAAATACATAAACAAAAAGATACCCTACGGTAGAAGATTCCCTCATCCTCAAGTAGGGAGAGCGAGAGAGAGAGAGAGAGAGAGAGAGAGGGTGGTGTGTAGTAGCATTATGGGCATCATGTCGTGCATGTAAATACAAGTTATATTGGACAAATTGATTGGAGAAGAAATAAAATAAAATAATGATTAAAATTAAACTTTGTGTGCCTTTTGTATTTTTTTAAGAATCTGATTTTTTTGAAAATAATTCTAGATAGAGCTGGAATAAGGGCCAATGTCGCAATGGGCTTGAACTGAGAAAAATGAATCTGAAATTTTGAACAAGAATAATGCTCAACTTTTTGGCTCAGCTCTGGTACTCTCTTCGGTCCCAAGCTAATCGATTCACCCCTCGAAACATAGGAAAATCCACTAACCCCTCATTTTATCTGTCATACTTTCATAGCGAATCAAAACAAAAATAGTGTAGTACTAGAATTTTGACTAGAATGGGGTACGTAATCGATTTGCTTGGGACCAATAGGCTAGTCAAGTAGTGAGCCAATTTAAAATCGTTAGTTTCGTATTGATTGTTGGTAATACGCCCGTTTGCTTTGACAAAAGCCATTTCGCCCCTATGTTTTCGCCCGCTCGTTTTTGATATGCACGGAAACAACTCAAAATTAAGTATTTTTCACTCATCTTGACACCTAAGTGCAACCAGTCAAAATTGAGTTATCTGCGAAGTATCCAATGTCAAGTATTTTGCGAAGACACCCTTTTGAGTAAAATGTAACTGTTTCAATAATACCAACAATCAATATGAAACTAACGATTTGAAATTGGCTCACTACTTGACTAGCCTATTGGTCCCAAACAAACGATTAACGTATCCCATTCTAGTTGGAATTCTAGTACTACACAATGTTTGTTTTGATTCTCTATAAAAGTTTGACAGATAAAATGAGGGGTTAGTGGATTTTCCTAAGTTTCGAGGGGTGAATCGATTAGCTTGGGACCGAAGATAGTACCAGAGCTGAGCCAAAAAGTTGAGCTCATTTCATCGGGACCTTCTGGTCTAGAGTTACCTTTATCGAAGACAACAAATCAAGAAGACTGGCAACTTTGCCAGAAGCCAAGCGACAAGTACAGCAACGCTGCGCTTGAGTGAAGGTGGAAGCAACGCATAGAAAAATGAGCAAATACACAAACCCTTCGTCTGAGGATGTAATCTTTGCTATCAAATTCGTTCTAAGCATTTCCCTTTGAGCGGCAGATGACGCGATTGTACCTGTCTCATAGCGTTCGTATGAGAAAATGGAAGAGATGCCAGTCTTCTTGATTTGTTGTCTTCGCCTCTATGATAATACCAACAATCAATACGAAACTAACGATTTTAAATTGGCTCACCACTTTAGTAGCCTATTGGTCCCAAGCAAACGATTAACGTACCCTATTCTAGTTGAAATTCTATTACTACACTATGTTTGTTTTGATTCGCTATGAAAGTTTGACAGATAACATCAGGGGTGTGTGGATTCATGCAGAACATGCAGGGGTGAGTGAAATAGCTTGGGACTGCTTGGGACCGTTGTTCTGGTACTGAGTGAGCCAAAAATAATAATGATTTTCTTCAGGACCCAGTGGTCTTAGAGTTACCTCTATGATTGCACCCTGCAGGGAAAGACGAAACAACTCAAAATCGACATTGAAAGTATTTAAAAATAAGTACTCCGCCAACACTACTGTTCTGGGTGAAATTTTGTTCTCATTGATGAGTACTTTTAACTTAAACTTGAAGTATAACCAGAACACTTACTTTTCGTTAATTTTACTCAAACAGTCTTGAGAGAGTTCTTATTTTTGAGGACTTCTTATCTCGATTTTTTGTTTTTTTGTTTTCCGCGCTACGAAAGTATCCAAAATCAAGTGTTGCGTTTGCACTTCATTTTGGATGAAAAATCGTAACGTGCGCCATGTTTATTTCTGCTTGTTCGTCGCTTGCTCCGCCAATTGATGATTCCGTCACAGACAAACAGACATAACACATTGAATATTTCTCACTGTAAAACATAGTCGCTAAAACATTACCACCATCTGTTAAGTATACTGTGGTGGGTAGTACTAACAATCAATACGAAACTAACGATTTTAAATTGGCTCACCACTTTAGTAGCCTATTGGTCCCAAGCAAACGATTAACGTACCCTATTCTAGTTGAAATTCTATTACTACACTATGTTTGTTTTGATTCGCTATGAAAGTTTGACAGATAACATCAGGGGTGTGTCATTCCTAGTTGAACACTCAGTCGGTTAACAACGTCCCGGTCTCAGTCGCGCGGCATCTAGTTTTTTTCGGTGTTTTTTTCCGCCCGAGCGGTTTTTTCACCCCCCCATTGGGTGCCCCAAGTGACCAGTGTGCAACAGAGGAAGTGGAATTCCATGGGCCGAGCCCCTTGGAGTTGCCATCCAGCTTTAATCCACCCCGGTAATCCATCCGGTCGTCAAGCCATTTTTTCATCATCGTGCCGACCCACCAACACCAATCATCACTATAGTCGCTATATTCATAGTCTGGCGGATAGAATCTCGGGAACCAATTGAGCTGTCAAATAACGGAACCAATCGAGCAAATCACAACCAATAACAGAAAAAGAGCACATCAGCTATTGCGAACAAAAATTCGGAAACTCTTTTCTCGTGACTCAAGACTCGCCTACGCAAACTAACACCATCTTTGGGTTGAGGAAAGTTTCCCCTATCCGATGATGCCGGTAATTTGTAATCGATTGGCGAGGAAGCATAATCAACGTTTTGTTTATTAAAGTGGATAGTACCTTTTCAATTGTTGGTCTAAAATATATTGAATTGGTTCCGCTTTTTGATTGCTCGAAATTCTATCCACCAGACTATGAATATAGCGACTATAATCATCACCACCAGCAGCAGCAAACGGACCATCTAGCTGCAACGGCTGATAGGTTGTTTACAACCGGCATAAGTATTAGACAATACATTTTGCAAGTCCATTGCCTCCCTATTGTAGTTTAATTTTGCCTCGTGGCGCGTGACTCTGTCTCTCACCCCTGGTAGGGGAGTATGGGTCATAGTGAGACAACTTTTTGCAAGTAGATATAAGTTTTTTTTTTTTTTGCTTCGATTTTTTTTTTTCTTTTTGATTTGTTCGTACGTCGGGCAAAAAATTTAATTACTAGTAATTAAAATTAATTAATTAGTGAAGGTTTTATTTTTTTTCCTTCTTAAGTGGTTGCGCACCGCTTTTGCGCAACACTTATGGCATCTTCCGATGCCTACGTTACGCGAACCAGATACTATGAACCGTCTTCGAAAGGACCATGGGTTGTCTTTTTTCGGCCCAAAAATAAACCTTTGAAAACTCTCGACATAACGAGAGATTTGCTGCGTAAGTATCCGGGAATCTTGGTACACAAAGAAAGATTCAACAAACTGCGTGTAGAAGCACCGACTTATGATGTGGCAAATAAAATTGCTGATCACGAGTTGTTTAGTGTTGAGTACAACATCTACATCCCTTCTCGAGATGTGGAGATAGAAGGCGTGGTCTCCGACGCGAGTCTGACTGTCGAGGACTTGAAACATGCCTCGGGAACTTTTAAAAACTCGACATTCGCTACCGCGCTAGTGAAGATACTGGATGTTAGGCAACTGCATTCAGCATCTTTGCTAGACGGTAAAAAAGTTTATAAACATTCAGACTCGTTCCGGGTGACTTTCGCAGGTTCAGTTCTCCCAAACTTTGTTAAAATTGATGGTGCTTTTTTTCCGGTGCGACTGTTTGTACAGAGGGTATATAATTGTACCAACTGCAAAAGGCTGGGACACTCGGCCAGCCATTGCGGCAACAAAACTCGTTGTGGCAAATGTGGTTAAAACCACAAAGAGGATTCTTGCCACAAAGAATCAGTAAAATGCGCTTACTGTGGCGAGAATCCTCACCCCTTGCAGGAGTGCCCGATGTACAAACAGCACTCCGATAAAGTGCAGCGTTCAATCTCTGGACGCTCCAAGCAGACATATGCTCAAATGTTGAAGGCTGCATCAGCCGTCCAAGATGCAAACCAATTTTCGGTTTTGTCAGTTGAAGAATCGGACTCTGACTCATCCGATGAAGGTGATTCTACGGTGGTACACGCACCTTCAAAAATTGACGGTTCCTCAAAAAGAAAATGCCCCTCCCCGAAAGTGCGCCGTAAGAAAACTAAAGTCACCTCCAGACGATTGCCAAATTCCCAGGGTAATGGGGATGAAAAAACAAAACCGAAGGCTCCTGCTGATCCAATCCCTGGATGCAGCAAGAATTCTCCGCCATTGCCCAACAAAGATAAAAAAAAATAAAAAAGCTGCTCCTCAAACTTCTCAAAAGAAATCCAAGTCCGAACGAGGTTTGCTAGCTTTTTCGGACATTGTGGAATTCATATTAAACATGTTCAACATACAAGACCCTCTAAGAAGCTTAGTTTCTGCCTTGCTTCCTACGTTAGAATCATATCTTAAGCAATTGACTGTTTCATGGCCCCTCCTTGCATCAATCATATCTTTCGATGGATAATTCGTCGAACGAGGTTGAAGATATGATCACGGTGCTACAGTGGAACTGCCGTAGTCTAGTGCCCAAACTAGACTCGTTCAAATTTTTACTTCACAATTCTGATTGTGATATATTTGCTCTCTGTGAAACATGGCTTTCTTCCGATAAAGAACTCAACTTCCACGATTTTAACATTATACGCCTGGATAGAGACGATTCTTATGGAGGAGTACTTTTAGGGATCAAAAAGTGCTACCCTTTCTACAAAATTTCCCTTCCTGCTCTATCAGGCGTCGAAATCGTTGCTTGCCAAATAAATGTGAAGAACAAAGATCTTTGCATAGCTTCAGTATACGTTCCACCAAGAACCTCCATTAGCCGTAGTCAACTCTGGAATCTAGTTTCGATTCTTCCATCCCCAGTATTAATTCTGGGTGATATGAACTCCCATGGTACTGGGTGGGGCGATCTATATGACGACAATAGAGCGGCTATTTTTTACGATTTATGTGACGATTTCAATTTGACTATTTTGAACACTGGTGAAGCGACACGTATAGCAAATCCTCCGGCTCGAGAAAGCCGACTCGACCTATCTTTGTGTTCAAGATCGCTATCATTGGATTGTCAGTGGAAGGTTATCAAT